TCAGCAGGGCAATGAAAGTACTCTGAGATGTCTTTTTAAAGGAAAAACAGAAAGACACTGATAGATAACTAACACTCAGAAACTCAGAGAGAAGGAAAAAATTCTTTACACCAGTAATTTTATCAAAATTATAGCAATTGTGAACAGTTATTTCTTTAAAGAGATGTAACTGACCCAAGAGGGGTTCTCTAAAGGGTTAGTAGGCAGGATGTGTCTACTGTGATCAGTGCAAAGGATTCTGCACGGCCCCCAAAGGGCCCCCCAGCACCTGGGCACGCTGGGTTTGTGCATCTGATCGCGGCAGAGCCTCCTCTTAAACCACTGCTCACGCACTTCTGATTCAAACCAACGATTCCTTGCTGAGGACTTAGGAAAACTATTCACGTACAACACGCTTTCTCTCAGAAATCCCACAGAGATCTCAGTGATATCAGCTTGCACCTGTGTATTTAGTATAAAGCCTGAAGTTGTTTTATCCCCACTTTATTTATTTATTTTTATTTTTATTTTATTTTTTTTGCGGTACGCGGGCCTCTCATGGTTGTGGCCTCTCCCGTTGTGGAGCACAGGCTCCGGACGCGCAGGCTCAGCGGCCATGGCCCACGGGCCCAGCCGCTCCGCGGCACGTGGGATCTTCCTGGACCGGGGCACGAACCCGTGTACCCTGCAACGGCAGGCGGACTCTCAACCACTGTGCCACCAGGGAAGCCCCTTACCATGTTTTTTTTTTAAAAATAAATTTATTTATTTACTTTTGGCTACATTGGGTCTTCGTTGCTGAGCGCAGGCTTTCTCTAGTTGTGGTAAGCGGGGGCTACTCTTCTGTGTACTACGCGGGCTTCTCATTGCAGTGGCTTCTCTTGTTGCAGAGCACAGGCTCTAGGCATGCGGGCTTCAGTAGTTGTGGCTCACGGACTCTAGAGCACAGGCTCAGTAGTTGTGGCGCACAGGCTTAGTTGCTCCGCGGCATGCGGGATCTTCCCGAACCCATGTCCCCTGAACTGGCAGGCGGATTCTTAACCACTGTGCCACCAGGGAGGCCCTACCATGGTTTTTTAATAATGCAGGTTTAGGATACGTAAATGTTGGGACTTCCGTGGTGGTCCAGTGGTTAAGACTCCGCACTTCCAATGCAGGGGGCATGGGTTCAATCCCTGGTCAGGGAACTAAGATCCCACATGCCACTCAGCCAAAAAAAAGAAAGATACATAAATGTGGAGAGGCACATGTATTATCTATTTGTAATATTTTTTTAAATGAACCAGAGTTGAGCCAACTAGATTTTAATGTCTTATAAGGAAAACAAAACACATTTCATTCAACTATGAATCCTTTGATGACTAAGCAGCTCATGAACATGTTTCAACAACAGTAAAAAAGCAGTAAACACTAGAAATATTTATAAGCCATCGTATAGTGGATGTGTGGAGATCTCCACATGAAGTGACATCACACCTACCGTAGTGTCATTGCCGGTAACATAAACCAGGACGTCAGAGGAGTTCCTGCCATTGATGTATCGGTAGCAGTTCCAAACACAGCTAATCAAGTAACCCTGTAAGTAAGTAGTGATTGTTAGAGATTTAATTTTCAAAGTTCAGACAATTTACAATATCATCATGGATAAAGCCATATTGCAAAATGTTCATTTATATAAATTTTAAACACACATTAACTCTACTAAACCAAAAAGGCTTTAAAATTACAAATGTTGGATATAGCAGCTTTCTGGCCAAGGGTGATACTGTAGCCTTACTACACAGAAGGTGATGGGGAAGGGTGGGGCTGAAAGGAGAAAGAGAATTTCCAAGAAAAGGAAGTTGAAAGGAGCAATCGCCGCAAACATTTACTGCCCCCAAAGAACAATCAGTTCATTAGCCGATTCTCATCACACTTTAACTCTGGGTCTTTCGGATCGTTATTCTATATCATTATATATGATTTTATAATACAAGTCAACTTAAAAAAAAAAAAACGTTCATAGCACATTAATTTGCTCTGTGATCAGTACAATTCACTAAAACATTTCCATTTTCACAATGAAATATCCACAGAAGATAATTAAAATTAAGGTCCAGAATAAAGACATGCTGGAAATAAAGCATGAGCTCAGGGGAGATGTTTAAAATACGAAGTCTTTGTACTTTCATTCCAATCATGTGTAATCAGATTAAAACAAAATGATTTCAAAGCCCCTTTCTAGCTTTGAAATTCTTTGATTAAAAGGTTAAAGATGTGGAAAAAACGGAGCCCTCCTACATTGGTGGGAATGTAAAACGGTGTTGCTTTAGAAAACAGTCTGGAAGTCCCTCAAAAGGTTAAACAGTTAAATGTGGGGACTTCCCTGGTGGTGCCATGGCTAAGAATCTGCCTGCCAATGCAGGGGACACGGGTTCGAGCCCTGGTCTGGGAAGATCCCACATGCCGCGGAGCAACTAAGTCCATGCACCACAACTACTGAGCCTGCGCTCTAGAGCCCACACGCCTAGAGCCCATGTTCCACAACAAGAGAAGCCACGCAATGAGAAGCCCATGCACCACAAACGAAGACCCAACGCAGCCATAAATAAATAAATAAATAAACAAACAGTTAAATGTGACCCGGTGGCTCCACTCCAAGGTATATACCCAAGAGAAATGAAAACATACGTCCACACAAAAACGTGTGCACAAATGTTCACAGCAACGTTATTTGTAATAGCAAAAGAGTAAAAACAATCCAAATGTCTGTCAACTTAGGACTGGATAGACAAACAAAATATTCCATTGTATGGTATATTCAGACAATGGAATATAATTCAGCAATAAAAAGGAAGTTCTGATAACATGCTACAGCATGGATGAACCTTGGAAATGTCAAAGAAGCCAGTCACAAAGGACCACATATTATATGATTCCATTTATATGAAATGTCCAGAAGAGGCAAATCCATAGCGACTGAAAATAGATTAGTGGTTACCAGGGGATGGGGGTAAAAGGGCAAATGTCATATGGTAAAAGTTCTAAAATTACATTGTTTAACCACAGAGCTGTGCTTACACAACTCCGGGAATATATTAAAAACCACTAAATTGTACACTCAAATGGAAGAACTTTATGATACATGAATTATATCTCAAGAAAGCTGTTTTATAAAAAAAGAAGACATTTAACAACAAAAGGAGTGCTTGTCAACACTTTTCAGAAGAGTGAGGTAATGTTCTGTTGTGTACTCAGAATACTGTCTTAAGCTGCATTCATACTTTTTTTTTTTTTAATTTATTTTTGGCTGTGTTGGGTCTTCATTTCTGCGCGAGGGCTTTCTCTAGTTGCGGCAAGCGGGGGCCACTCTTCATCGCGGTGCGCGGGCCTCTCACTATCGCGGCCTCTCTTGTTGCAGAGCACAGGCTCCAGACGCGCAGGCTCCGTAGTTGTGGCGCACAGGCACAGTTGCTCCATGGCATGTGGGATCTTCCCAGACCAGGGCTCAAACCCGTGTCCCCTGCATTAGCAGGCAGATTCTCAACCACTGCGCCACCAGGGAAGCCCGCTGCATTCATACTTGGTGGTGATTATTTTCTATAGTGAGACTTTCTGTGATAATGTTAATATGAAAATGCATAATGCTATTTTAGTAAAGTGTTTTCTGAATGGCAATAATCTGAAACCAGAGATCAACAATGAGAAAGAGATGGAAAGGGCATTTTTCTTGAACAGTATGTTGAATTTACTCAAATCTTCAGTTTACTCAACAATGCTCTTGCTTCTCTATTAAAACAAACAAACAAAACCCTGGACTCGTTGAGAATTTTAATACAAATAAAAAAGGAATGCTTGGACAGATTCTGTTGTGTACTATGTAAGAAGACTAACCCGTCATCCATTGTTTTAGCAGTGAACAGAAGGTTCTTTTAAGACAAGAACTCTTTCTGATGTGAGGCCTCCAAAATGACAAATCTATAACTGACGGTTAAACTGCAGAGGGGAAACAGCCAGTGTCTGGGGCCCCATACACCCAGTCAGCATGCTTGAATGCCCCCTGCAACACCAGGAGCGTTTACCCACTAAACACGCTGATGGGAGAAAAACCTGGCCTGTTGTCTCTAAACTTATTTCAATGACCAATAACTTATTTCAATGACCTTATTTCCTATTTGACATTCCTATTTGACATTTGACATTAATCCTGAATAAATTAAATATTTGGTATATTTCCCAAATAGAGTTGCACTGACAAGAGGACATCCATCATCTACTTGCAGAGCCAGGTGGTAAGCGTTGTTCCCTTTACCAACTAAGGACAGAGCAAAACTGACACATGTTGTGATTTGGGTTCCCAGGGAACCACTAGTGATAAAACTTATTAAAGAGTAACAGTGAATTTAGGTTGTGGGAGCTACTAATCAGGTAAACTATTATGTGAAACTGTAACACATATATGTGTTCATATTTGTTTAAACTAATAATTACTGAGTCTCCACAAGGGATAGAAAAATGAAGGCAGGGTCTATGTTCTCAAGGAAATGCAGTCTGGTTAGTAGAGATAGATACATATATAATGAAATATTAACACATTACACACAGGTTGGAGACAGTGCTGTGAACAATCTATAAGATGCCTTTTATTAGGTCATTATGATAAATAATATTGTTTGCAGTTGATAAAAGCACCACAGACAGGGCAGGGACTTTTCTTATTCACCACCGAACCCTAGCAGCTACAACACGGCCCGGCACACAGGAGACCCTCAGCAAATATTTACTGAATAAATAAATGAATGATGCACCTTCCCATCCATTAGCTCAATTAACCTCACAGTCACCCTTCACAATGCTTTCTTAGCTATTACTGCTATTTAGTAAATGAAGAAACCAAGGCTCTGGTCACATAGCTATGTGGCAGTGACACAAGGTAAATCTAGGTCCTCTGACTCAAAATCTCAAGTAAGCATTTCCAATAAAGATGTAAATGCCTACACAGTTAAAATGCCTTTTCTGAGAGCAGTGGGAGGTTCCGGCTTCTGGGTAATGGCACAGGGTAGCTTTGGTCAGACTAACCTTCTTCCAGGTAAAAATGATAAAATCTGGAATAAACACACACAGACACACAGACTCTACTTGAAGGCAGGGCTGAAGGGCCCAAAACAGGCAGAAGCTAAAGGGGAGTCTACCGTTGAGTGGCAAACTGCAGTGAGTGGGATTTGAGGATCTGAAGTCTTTTGCCAGTGGCTCTGCCCACTCTCCACACAGCTGGTGGTCTGACTAAGAAGCCAGGTAGTTGGGGTGTTGAGGTAGGAGCTGCAGGGGCAGGAAGCCTCAACATCCGTGTATAAAATTCACCCAAACCCTTGACCACTAAGCCACACGTGCAGTAACAAGCCATGCAGAGTATGTTGTATGGAGGGCGATGCAGACCTCAGTGACTTTCAATGAATCACTTTCTTTCTACTCCTCTTCAACACATTTTACCATATTTTAAATGACTTTTCTCCCTAAAAGCAGCTTCTTGAAAACTCACCAAGGCTGGTTTTTTAAAGAGTTCAGTAATTTTATGCCAAAATAAAGACAAGGAAAGATGTTAAGAATTAGAAGTTCAAGGTCTAACTTAAGAATTTTCTACTTATTACTAGCACACAAGCACAAATTATAATGATGTTTTTCTTATTAGGTTTACAAAGATGAAAAATAGCACTCGACGGATGAGGGTGAGGGGAACGTGGCAGATGGGAGTGTTAAGGCATTCAACTTCAGGGGAGATCAATTTGACAAACTATCAAAAACCTTCCAATTATGCATACCCTCTAATTTCAGCAAATAGATCTTGAGAAAATAAATGTATAAGTATATAAAAGATGTATTTAATTTAATATATTCATTTATAAGTGAAAAAGTAGGAACTATCTCAATGTCCAACAGTAACTAATTTATAAAAATGATAAATTCATAATAGACTGTTACAGAATAATGTTCAAAATCGATTGCATTGGGCTTCCCTGGTGGCGCAGTGGTTGAGAGTCCGCCTGCCGATGCAGGGGACACGGGTTCGTGCCCCGGTCTGGGAGGATCCCACATGCCGCGAAGCGGCTGGGCCCGCGGGCCATGGCCGCTGAGCCTGCGCGTCCGGAGCCTGTGCTCCGCAACGGGAGAGGCCACAACAGAGAGGCCGGCGTACTGCAAAAACAAAAACAAAAACAAACAAACAAAAAACCAAAAAAACCAAAATCGATTGCATTTTTAAAAACAAATTACAGGGACTTCCCTGGTGGAGCAGTGGTTAAGACTCCACGCTCCCAAGGCAGGGGGCCCGGGTTTGATCCCTGGTCAGGACACTAGATCCCACATGCATGCCGCAACTAAGGAGCCTGTGTGCTGCAACTAAGGAGCCAGGCGAGCCGCAACTAAGGAGCCCGCCTGTTGCAACCAAATATAATAAATAAATAAATAAATATTTAGGAAAAAACCCCACAAATTACAAAAGAATGTATACAGAGACTTGTAATGGATGCTATGGTCCTTAATACACACCACATAAATGTACAACATTATATTAATTTATTTCCATCCAAATAGATTTTAGAAGAACCCTGGGTTGGCCTGTGGAAGTCTGGTTAGTGTTTATCTCTCTCATATAGATAAGAGAAGGAACAGAATTGTGAGGAATTCAAAAAGCAGTTCAGAAATCTAAAACAAGATAAACTAACGGAAGTTTGCTTACTTCTTTAGCATTCATGAATACATTTAGTAATATTTAGACCATGAGTAAAATCTTCATGCTTACCTTAAAAGTCAAGATAATGCTGATAAACAGAAGAATAATAAGGACCAAACAGGTAGGATTCACTGACATGATATCATCTTTGTAAGGAAAATCAGGAGGCTACAAAAGAAAAGTACCTCATTAGCAAATCTCATTAATGATCCAGGATTCTATTCCATAAGCATTAACCAGATGTGCTTATCAGAAAGCAATTAATTAAAGCAGATAGTTATTATTTAAGGACACTACAACATTTCTAGTCTACCTCTACTATGAAAAAGCTATAAACAGTGTGATGGGGAGAGGCTAGTCTGTTCTTAATTCAGGCAGTAACTCTCAGAAAGAAAATTCAGGGCTTCCCTGGTGGCGCAGTGGTTGAGAGTCCGCCTGCCGATGCAGGGGACGCGGGTTCGTGCCCCGGGTCCGGGAAGATCCCACATGCCGCGGAGCGGCTGGGCCCTTGAGCCATGGCCGCTGAGCCTGCGCGTCCGGAGCCTGTGCTCCGCAACGGGAGGGGCCACAACAGTGAGAGGCCCGCGTACCGCAAAAAAAAAAAAAAGAAAGAAAAGAAAGAAAATTCAGTGGAAGATTCATGAGACGTAAAGACCTAATTCTGCCCTCCAACCATATAGAAAGTTCGAAGTCAATGGTCTTTACGACACCTCAAAATTTGGATTTTCTGCAAATTCCGGACCATTCTAATGGGCCTGTGTAGGGCAAGGGCTGGAGAACCCTGTGAAAGTACTGCCTTCTTAATATAGAGCGTTTTTGCTGATGCTACTTCTCCTCAAAGAGCAGAACCTTTATATTAATAGGTATTTACAGCATTAAAAAAAAAATCAAAACTATTATATAGAATGGATAAACAAGGTCCTACTGTAGAGCACAGGGAACTATATTCAATATCCCGTGATAATAATCGAAAAAGAATGTGAAAAAGAATAGGTATATACATGTATAATAATCACTTTGCTGGCCAGCAGAAATGAACACAACGTTGTAAATCAACTGTACTTGAATTAAAAAAAAAAAAAAAAAAACGAAAACCAAAACACACAAGTCCTACCATCTAACCATAATGATTAACTACCAGGTCAAAAGAAATCCTTTTAGGAGGACTGAAATCTGCTACTATGGTTCACGGGAATGACAGGATGTCACCGTGAATCTCGTGCTCAGCACTGATCGAAGCTCTCACTGCAAACGGATCAAAGCTCTCACTGCAAACGGCTTACACAGTGTGCACAGAAGGCAGCCCCGTGTGCGGTCACCCTTCATCTCCCCTCATCACCCACTACTATGTGTCTGGATCCCACGTGAGCAGTATTCCCAGACATAACAAAGGAGAAAACTCGTGACTCGTGCCTGGCTCCTCCTCCCCAGGATGAGCCTCGCCTAGTGGTTTTCAGAGTCTCCTTTCACTCTGGCAAAATACCTAAGTAATAAAATCTAAGTCACTTTTTGTGATCAGCTCATCAAATTGGCCCCTGCCCTTGGAGCCTAAAAAGGCTGCCTGTGGTACTGACCTCAAAGGGCAAAAATAAAACAAACTGGGGCTTCCCTGGTGGCGCAGTGGTTGAGAGTCCGCCTGCCGATGCAGGGGACGCGGGTTCGTGCCCCAGTCCGGGAAGATCCCACATGCCGCGGAGCGGCTGGGCCTGTGAGCCATGGCCGCTGAGCCTGCACGTCCAGCGCCTGTGCTCCACAACGGGAGAGGCCACAGCAGTGAGAGGCCCGCGTACCGCAAAAAAAACAAAAACAAACAAACAAAAACTGATGTTATTTACAAGACCAACACAAAATCATATTGTTTCCAGGAATTTGGGAAAAAAAAAACAACTGCTATTACTGTGGAAATACATGAGCCTTTCCACAAAGATCTTTACACACTTTCCTCCAGAGAAGTGAACGTGGTTTCTACATCCACTTAAGACCTATAAAAATACACACGTAACTTACTTTAACTGTTTTACAAGACTCCACATAAAAAGAACTGGCACTAGGATTAAGTGGTGCTCTCTAGCAGCATTCTCAGACAAGCCTCCCCAGATTCACTGTATATCTCAACTTGTCAACAGGAGGGGCAGTAGCAGCGGAAATTTAATGTCCCCTTTCAGTGCCGTCTCTTAGGCACTGTGATAACCTGCAGGTCTCGCTCTTCCAGCCCAGACTGATCTTCAAGTCAAACAGGCAGAAGATGCCTACTTGGATTATTTCGTTTATAATTAGAAATAAAAGTAGAGAGTGAGTTTTTAAACGCATATGAGGATGATCGTGAGCACCACCAATATTATGACTTTACAACTGGGTACAGAGTGACTGGACAATGCAGGTGGAACAGGAAGTAGTGACTGAACAATGCAGGTGGAACAGGAAGTCTTGGTAGTACCCTGAGTGTTCTAAACGCTGGCCTGCACATTAGCCTTTCTCCTCCTTATAAATCTCCAAATACGTGGGATGGAGCACACGATATACTCTTCAAGTAGTCAGAACTGTCACGTGACTTGCCTTGGGGTCCCCTTACTCCATCCCACCCTCTCCCGGCCCCCTCACGTGATGGGCTCTGTGGAGACTATGTTTCCTCCACAATTCCAGGATGATTTTAGGAGCTCAGTGCCAGATCATTATTACAGAGTAGAATTCAAGTCCTTAAAGACAGAGGTAATTCTACCTCTGTTCATCACATATAAACCTCTGTTCATCATATATCTACCTCTGTTCATCACATATAAACCCCCTCATGCAGAAACACTTAGCTGTTATCACAAGAGATGACACATAAAATTAGCACATGGGAAATAACACCAAAATTTTCTTGACACTACACTCCACGAAAACATAGATCTATTTCTAAGAAACAAAAAGAAGCTATTTCTTACAACAATGACAACCTAATACTTTTAAGGAGCAACACGCTGGAGGCTTTTCATACTAGGTCTGTTGAGTACTAGTCACGTGCTCTGGGCCGACTGCCAAAAGATCACAAACTTCTGTGGCCACACTTCCTACCTGGCTCCATCCCCTCCATCCCTCTTTTCCACTGAACTTCTTGACCTCCATTTTCACATCAAACCCCCAGTCTGTATCTCCATCCCAGAAAAACCCTGTTCCTTCCCTCATGCTCAGAAACTACTATTTTTTTTTAAAGGAAATATTTTATTTATTTATTTATTAATTTTTGGCTGCATTGGGTCTTCGTTGCTGTGCGGGGGCTTTTTCTCTAGTTGTGGTGAGCGGGGGCTACTCTTTGTTGCGGTATGTGGGCTTCTAATTGCGGTGGCTTCATTTGTTGCGGAGCATGGGCTCTAGGTGCGCCGGCTTCAGTAGTTGTGGCGCACAGGCTTAGGTGCTCCACGGCATGTGGAATCTTCCCGGACCAGGGCTCGAACCCGTGTCTCCTGCATTGGCAGGCGGATTCTTAACCACTACACCACCAGGGAAGTCCTCAGAAACTACTATGAAAACTAAAGACTGAACATTCTATTCTCTCCATTTAAAGCATTCTAAGATTTTGAAGAAATTAAATTTTAAGGTACATAATTTAAAACACAAAGATTTAAAAATGTGAAGGCACAGAAGTACTCTAATCTCACACCCTCCACGAGCTTCTTAATAGCCAGCCACCAATATTCACTCATATGGTCACAAAAGACATTTAATATTGTAGAAAACCAGCCCCAGAAAGAAGTTTGGGGCTTCCCTCGTGGCGCAGTGGTTAAGAATCAGCCTGCTAATGCAGGGGACACGGGTTCGAGCCCTGGTCCAAGAAGATCCCACATGCCGTGGAGCAACTAAGCCCGTACACCACAACTACTGAGCCTGTGTTCTAGAGCCCATGAGCCCCAACTACTGAAGCCCGCATGCTTAGAGCCCGTGCTCCGCAACAAGAGAAGCCACTGCAATGAGAAGCCCGCGCACCGCAACGAAGAGTAGCCCCCACTCGCCACAACTAGAGAAAGCCTGTGTGCAGCAACGAAGACCCAACTCAGCCAAAAATAAATAAATTAATTATTTTTAAAAAGAAGTTTGAAGAAGGGGTTCTATGGTCAAATAAGTTCAGGAAACAGTACATGGTAGAGTTCCACTTTCCCACACACAGCAGAGGCAAAAGGCTATCATCCCCTGCTGATAACTTAGCAAATTGCATTTTACAAAAATAAGACAATTAGTAAGTAGCTTGTAAATTAGGCAGGCACCTCTAATACCATCATCACCAACTTATCTACCTCAGGGGGTTATGTTTTCCCAAAAAGCATTCTAAGAGATAAAAAATCTTATCTTTATTCAAAAATCTCTAATCAGTAGCTCAGATGCAAGTTAAAACACCACAAATTAATATGTGTATGTATGTTTATCTCTACATCTTTTGTATTTCTATCTTAACCAGGCCTCCCTCACAAAGAGACATAGCAATTATAAAGGTCACATACCAGCTGTCGTATGTATTCCTGGATGGAGTTTGGATAAACAAGCACAGTGACTGCAACCAAGGTGTTCAGGGCAAAATCAAAGATCTGGTAACAGAAGAATGGGATGATCCAGGCTGCGTGTTGCTAAACATAAGACAGGACAGGATGTTAATATTTAATATGTTCAATATTACAAAACAATAGTTTTTTGAATTCAGAGAAATCTATTCTTAATCTGAAGGGAAATGGAGGAGTAGAAATTCATTAAATCAGGTCATGATGGCAACTTGCTAAACCAAACAAAAGCAGCAAACCAACAAGCCTCAATGAACACACTTCTGAGACTGTAACATTGGTTTTCCACGTAACATTAGCAAGAGATTTAAACTTTTAAAGATTCTTATAGGAAACTGAGAAAATCATTCCTCACTTCTTACAGATAGCTGCACAGATTACATGTATAAGGGACCAAGGAAAAGGCCCAGGACCTTATTTCTAAGCTGCTTACCTTGTATGCTCCGTAAGTAGCCATTGCACAGATCAGGATCATGAGAAGAGAAATTGCGATAGCAATGCACATGTCTGCAAAATAGTTTTTTTTAAAAAAGAAAGAAAATCAGTAGTAGCTCCACTGTTTTAACATTTTGTAAAGTCACTCCTCAAAGGCATTTTGTTTATAAACCAATTATAGACAAGAACTTTATATTAAGTTAAACACCAGAGTTCCTTTGGAATCTGAGACGATGATTGTTAATGGAAGCAAAGTGCCTAAAAGATTTTCTCCCTAAATCACACATAGGTCTATATTAAATATATCTATAAATATATCTATGTATATATATTTCAAAGTTTGGTCTTCTGGTCCACTGAATTATATATATAACAAATGAGGTATTCATTTTCTTATCAGGACCTTTATGTCTCTGTTTAGTCTAGAGCCTGCCAACCTCTTCAATCTCCTCTCATCTCATCCCACACTTTCTTACTCACTGTAATCCAGCCATACCATTTAGTTCACTAAACACAGCCAAATCATCCCACATCAGGGCCTCACATTTGCAGTTCCCACTGAATAGAAGTAATGTCGCTCATATTTTCACATGATTGGCTCCACCTTTTTAATCATTCAGCTCAACACCTCCAAGATCTTCCCTGGCCACCCTAGCTAATGTGACCCTCCCAGTCATGCCCACGTGACTGCTGTATTTTGTTTACAGCATGTTTCACTATCATCTTGCTTATTCGTGTACTGTCTGCCTCTGCTAGAGGAACCTTCCTGAGGAAAAGGAGCTGCTGCTGTGTCTCGTTCACTACTGCAACCTCAACACCGAGAAGGTGACAGATGCCACATGTGCGCGCTAAGCACTTGTACTGTGGTCAATCTGCACTGAGATGTGCCATAAGACTGAAATGTACTCCTCATTTCAAGGACTTAGTATCAAAAAAAAAATCCCATTAATGATTTTTATACTGATTACAAGCTGAAATAATATTTGGGATATACTGAGTTAAATACATTATTAAAGTTAATCACCTGTTTGTTACCTTTTTAAATGAGGCTACTAAGAAATTTAAAATTACTCGTGTGCTTGCGTCATATCTTTGTTGAATAGAGCAGCTCTAGTACAAAGGCTGTTTCACAGTAGGTACAAACTGAAGACTTACTCTGATTAGAAGTACAGTGTATCTGGGTTTCTGAAGGTAACGTGTAGGCTTATAATCAGGCTAAGAGAGTACAAAAGCCCTTGCAGTGAAGCGTCTGTATCGTGCTGACAGTTTCCAAGGCACTTTCACAGATACCTCATTGAGTCTTCATTACTCTGAGGCAGATGTTACTGTGCCCAGTGAATGGATTATGAAACCAGGGCTCAGAGGCTATGTAACCTGCTGAGATAGCATTTGCATCAAAAGGCTAAACTGTGACTAATCCAGCTCTTATGATTCAAATTTTTGGCTCTCTCTGGTATACTATGCGCTTCTACTTAAGCTTTAAATACTGACCAAATGAACCCAACCTAGGCTGTCACTTGCTACAGGTATTTCTCCAAAGGAAACCCTTCCAGTTCTAGAGCCACCCACACTATATCCTCAGCTTCAGAGATGAGAGGATATTTTAAGCAGGTTTACAAACAGAATCATAAGGTCAAAGTACTTTCTGTGTCAGATGTATATATACCAACAAAGACCATTCGGCACCTTAAAAAAAAATGAAGCTTCCTTAAAACGGTCTCTAGATTTAATGCAGGACATTTATAATAAAGCTGATGACTTTTACTAAAGGAGTAAAAATTTGATTCTCAAAAAAAAAGAAGGTTATAAGAGAATCAAGAGATAATTAATACTAGTCAGTACTTAAAAGAGCATGATTTCTCTCAGGATACATATATATTTTATAGTTTACTTTATAATTTTAATGCTAAATGAACTCACCTTCCCTTATTATGAGGGAAGAGGTACCAACAAGGACATTTCACGTATGCCTCATAGTATTTTTGCCGGGCAAGTAACCTGCCCAAGGTTGCCCAGCTGGCAAGTGGTGGATGAGCTATTCTACCCCAGAAGTTTAACTCCAGAGGCAATGCTCTTAGCCACCATGCTACCCAGCTGTGAAGGAGGTAAAGCAAATGCAGTAGTGGAGGTCAAAGTCCTGGGAAACCAGAGAGCCTCCCTAAAAGGAGTGGACATCCTTTATTATGTGCAAAGCCTATCAGAACTTGTAGTAATCTCTAAAACTTGACTGAACTCAGGCAGAAATTTATTATTTTCTGTGTCTTACTTTGACGGTTTCCAAATTCTGTACAAGCCTATTTTATAATGAGAAAAAATTAGTTTTATAAAAGCTAGTCCATTAGAGGAGACTCTTTGACTCCCTCATAGATCTTAAGAGAAATAGAGAGACAGAGAGAGAAACAAGCAAACAAAAAAATCTAAGGCTTTATTTAAAAATAAAAATATAGGGCTTCCCTGGTGGCGCAGTGGTTGAAAGTCTGCCTGCCGATGCAGGGGACACGGGTTCGAGCCCTGGTCTGGGAGGATCCCACATGCCGCGGAGCAACTGGGCCTGTGAGCCACAATTACTGAGCCTGCGCGTCTGGAGCCTGTGCTCCACAACAAGAGAGGCCGCGACAGTGAGAGGCCCCGCGCACTGAGATAAAGAGTGGCCCCCGCTTGCCGCAACTAGAGAAAGCCCTCACACAGAAACGAAGACCCAAAGCAGCAAAAATAAATAAATAAATATTTTAAGGGCTTCCCTGGTGGCGCAGTGGTTGAGAGTCCGCCTGCCGATGCAGGGGACACGGGTTCGTGCCCCGGTCCAGGAAGATCCCACATGCCGCGGAGCGGCTGGGCCCGTGAGCCATGGCCGCTGAGCCTGCGCGTCCGGAGCCTGTGCTCCGCAGCGGGAGAGGCCACAACAGTGAGAGGCCCGTGTAACGCAAAAAAAAAAAAAAAAAAAAAAAAAAAAAAAAAAAAAAAAAAAAAAAAAAAAAAAAAAAATTTAAAAAAGAAAAAAAATATATAAATATAATGGTTACATTAATATTTATGTTATAATAAAAGTTATATAAATTATCTTTTATATTAATATTAGGTATATCAATAAAACCTTTATTAATATAAAATATTAATACAGAAAAAAACACTAAAATCTTGAATAATTTTATGTCTTATTCTGGAAAAGAAAAGAAAACCAAGCCAGAACAAAATCTCACATAATCATTAAAATTTTTTAAATTTCCATCTTTTTCAAAGAATATAAATCTCAGGAGAAATTTAAAAGGCACAAATAAAATGAAAGTCATAAAGTATCCTATCACCACTCACAATGAGGTACCACAGAAAAAAATGTTAATTTGAGATGAGGAAATTTTCAAAATTCTATTCCTATAAATGACTACACCAACCACACTGAACAGACTGAATATATCACAGGCATGTCAAATAGCTTAGGGAGGATCAAAGCGTAAATCAAATAACACAGAGCAGAGAAGATAAAACAGGTTAATGAACCCTGTACCTCCTAGCAACCTAGAGCACAAGTCAGCTCCTCTGAAGTGGTGTGTGGCGTACCATGGTGAACATGAGAGTTACTCTGAGGAATGAAAATTCATTTCTTTTATAATTATGTCAACAGGCAAATGAGTAACTGGTCCTACTAACAATATAGGAATGTTTACAATCAGTAAAGTACTGGTCAGTGTCAGGAATATACTTTACTTATTCTTTGCACAGCAGCTCCACCAATCAAAGCCAGAGCATACTGCAGGCAAGTTGTTTCCTAAATTACATTCCTGGCTTAATGACTCAGTTCTGATTTGAAAAGGTTCCAAAGAAAAGCTACACCACAGGCCACAAAGGCATAATTAGAAAGCATTTCCTGATACTTAGTCAATTAATCATTGAAATAGAATAGGCATATAAAGGAGTTCCCAGAAATGCCTTTGTTAAAATTATCTATTTCTAATTCTACTCTTCCTTAACATTTCTTGGGTTTGTGTCCTTCCCATAAAACTGGTAGCTAGATAGATAACTAGCACCTGATTTATGCTCTCACATCATATTTGCCTAGTCACGAGTCATTCTTATGGCTCAATTTTCGGCCATATTTTTGGCTCATGAAAACAAACAGTATTTGGGGTATAGTTTCACCATTAAGTCTAGAGGAGAATTATTTTCAGATGAACTCACAGCAACAATATGAGCTACTGAGAGCAAAATACAAAAGCCCTCAACCCCTGCGGGGGTAAACACAAAACCCAGGTAAGTCCCTCCTATGGGGCCTCACGTTCTGAGGTTGAAAGCTTGGGGAAGAATAAGCATAAGGCACTAATTTTATTGCCCTAAAACAGAAGCAAAGCTCTAATATACTTTTTGTTATTTGTGTGGCAATTGTTTATAACTTTTTATTGAAGTAAATTCAGATAGAAGAGGGGTTTCTTGTAACTTGCTAATTTACAACTTTATTCTTAAACCCCAAATTTATTTCATGAATACTAAATAGGTGTGTAACATGGGATAAAAATGTGAGGCTGCAGAGATTAAGAGGACATAATCTTTGCTCTCAGATGCTTAGCATCTACTAGGAAGGGATGGAAGAATTCAATAGCAGGTAACAGATGACAAGCTAGGGGAGTTCAGAGGGGACAATATTTTCAGCCAAGAGAAACAAAAAAGAATTTATGGGAGGATGTGGTTATTTGGGCTGGGTCTTTTTTTCCCTTCATAAATTTTTTGTATTAAGATATAATTCACATTCTATAAAATGCACCCTTTAAAAAAGCATATATATAATTCAGTGGGTTTTTTAGTCACAAAGTTGCACAGCCATCACCACTAATTCCAGAATATTTTCATTCTCTCAAAAAAATCCCTCTATAACCTTAGAAGTCACTCCCCATTCCCCGCCCCCACGCCCTCCAGCCCCTGGCAACCATTAAGGTACTTTCTATCTCTTTAGATCTGCCTATCCTGTACATTTCATATAAATGGAATCATACAATATGCGGCCTTCTGTGTCTGGCTTATCTCATTTAGAATAATATTTTCAGGGTTCATACATGTTGTCAGGTGTTAAGATTTAAACT